CTTTCTCGGAGAGGTGACCTTGGTTAAAACACACAGCGCTAAGGGGAGCAAACATATTAAGAACAGTATGCTATATACGCCAGGTCCCTTGAAACATATGCTGTGCCGATGTTTCTTTCCTGCAGCGACTGTGTCAAGCAGCAAGGATGGACCGGCTTCCGGCAAAGTGGTAAGGGTTTAGTTAAGTTAGAGAAGACATTGAATTTGTGGGTGGAAAATATGAACAGAAAACATGTGTACATATACAAATACATACATACATATAGTATCAATCCATTTGGTACCATCTGAGGATTCAGGCGTCCATTGGGGGTCCTGGAACATATCCCCCAGAAATAAGGGGGAACTATTACTGTACTGCGGGGTCTCACTTCCTTTCAACTTGAAAAACCTCCTTTTGCATTCTTATAAGGTAGGTTTCATAAAAATGAATTCTTAATATCTGAGAATTTTGCCTTCATTTCTGATAATTTTGCTACATGTAAGAGTCTCGGTTGAGTTTTTTCCTTTCAGCACTGCGCATGTCATTTCATCGCCTCAGGCCTCCACTATGTCTGTAAATCAATCTTCAATCTTAGTAGGGTTTTCTTACCAGTATACACATGCGTGACTTTCTGTTTTCAAGATTTTTCTGTCTCTAAGTATCATTTTTATTCTGACATGTCTGGGTGTGGCTCATTCTATTTTAGGAATTTGTTGATCTTGGTTTCATGTTTTGTTTTGTTTTGATCAACTTTGGGATTTTTAGGCATTATTTCTTCTAATAACTTTTCTGCTCACTTTCCTTCTGGTACTCCCATTACACATATGTTGATGTTTTGTACTTCTCTGAAGCTGTTTTTCTTCATTTTCCCCCTCCTGTTCTTTGGATGGCAGTACTTGCATTGATTAATCTGCACCTTTCCTGATTCTACTGCTCAAATATGATAAGTACCTGTAATGAATTTTTTAAAATATATTTTATTGATTTTTCAGAGAGGAAGCGAGAGGGAGAGGGATAAAGAGTTAGAAACATCAATGGGAGAGAAATATCGATCAGCTGCCTCCTGCACACCCGCCACTGGGGATGTGCCCGCAACCAAGGCACATGCCCCAACCAGAATCGAACCTGGGACCCCTCAGTCCACAGGCCGACGCTCTATCCACTGAGCCAAACCGGTCAGGGCATGTAATGAATTTTTCATTAGTTATTGTACTTTCCAAGTCCAGAAAGTTTGATATGGTTATTTTAAAATAATTTCTCTTTATTAATATTCTCTATTTGATGGAATATTATCTTTCTATACCTCTCGCATGGTTCTAGTCTTAAAAAATATGTAACAGCTGCTTGAAGCTTTTGTACGGTTCCAACATCTGGGCCTACTCAAAGGGAGCTCCTTTTTGCTTTTTGCTCCCTGTTCGGTCAGTTTCCTGTTTCTTTGCACACCTTGTACTTTTTGTTGGGAGCTGGACACTTAAATATAGCAGCTCTGGGCGCTCATCCCCCACTCCAGGGCTTGTTTGATTATTTGTTAGAACCACAGTTGGACTTATTTCAGTGAAGTCCATTTACCCTGCAGAGTGAAGCTTCTGATGGGCATGCGCTGTTGCTGACTCCCCTCCAGCCCCAATAGGTGTCAGCAGGGCTCTCTATTGTTCATTTCCCTGATCTCCTTGTAAGGGTTTTCGTTAGCCAGCTTCTACTGTTGTAACACTCTATTAACATCCACTAATTCTAGCAGAACTTTCTATTATTTCTGACAAGCCCTGCACAGTTTAATCCAATTAAATTCAGGCACTTGTAGTCTTTGAAGCCTGCTCCAACTTTAGGGCTACTTTTGGCTGCCACGTTAATTCTGTTAAAAGCTCTCACCTTTTGCTTGTTATCATGGACTCCCACTCCAGATCTTCTCTGCCTACAGAATCCTTAAACTCCTCTTTAACTCTGCTTTAGTCAGTCAGTCCCTTTAGGGAACGCACCCCATGAAAGCTGTCTTGATAGTCTGCTTCTCCCACTGGGTAAAGCCTCCGTGCTTCCGCCCGTAGCTGTGGGTTGGAGAGTAGCCCGATTTTCTAGGGATCATACCTGCGGTGTTACAAGTAGAGCAGTGAGTGGTAGCCCCTGGTGTCTGCTTGCCTGTCCGTGCATGGAACCTCCATCCTAATCACTACTGTCCCAGTTTAAGAGAAAGCCAATTGTGAATCTCAATGGGTTTATGAGTGAGCTGGGGCAACAGTGACTAGGAAACAGTCTGCTTGGTCTGCCATTCCCAGGGTTGTTCTGTGCTCCAAGTGGGGACTGGGCAGAAGAGAAAGGGAGCAGTCTGCTCCTCTCAGGGAGGAACTGCAGGCTGATTGGGAGCCAGGGGAAGGAAGGGGGTGGGGTCATGGCGCAAATAGCGGAGACTTGCCTTTCTCTACCAAGAGTAAGAATTTCTTGAATATTTTTGTTTGCTTTATGCTCTTATGACAATTTCAGAGACTTTAATTTTTAAAAATATAATATTTATAAGTTATGGTTGTTTCAATGAGTCTGTAGATCGCCTCATGTTGCCATTCCAAAGTGCTTCCTGATTTTTTAAATGCTATCTTAAAATACAAGCAATCAGGACCCATGAAATAAGGCAATATGCTCACAACCTGAAAAAGTTCTCCTCTGCCATCAGCTGATTCAACATCAACATGCAGCACACAGAGTAAATAAGCAGCTCTTTAATAGTTATGCAAACATATTCCAGACGTGAAGTGTTTATCATTCATTTACAAGTGCAGTCTGTTACACCAATAACTGTTACTTGACCTGTTGTATAAAGTAAACAATGCATGAGAATTAGTCCTGAAATAGTTCCTTGAATTTGTTTCCAATCCAGTGAATTAAAAAAAACAACTGTGAATGGTATAAAGACGTAAAAATCATATTGTGATAAAATCAATTGCAAAAATAGAGAATCCAGATCCTACCCAGATAATTTAAGAACTCAGCAGTTTTCCTCAATTTAAACGTGAGTTCCACAGAGAAAATATTAAAGATGTCTTTCAATGTGGTGCAACTGTATAAAACTAGAATACGACCATTAGATGACCAATGTATCAAAACCAACAGAATTTAGAAAACACATCTAATTCTAAAGTAAGGAGAAATGAAAAGACACTTTACAAAGAACTGTAACTGCTCCTAGTCATCATCAGAGTCCGAATCATATTTCTTTCCTCGGATGGTTTTCTTTTCCAGCTTTGTGAAGTTTGTTCCAATTTTCTTTTGGCTCTGAAATGGTGGCTCCATTAAATTTCCACTGAAAATAAAGCAAATATGAAAAGCACTTATTCTTTATGATTTAGTACAGAAAAATCTTTTTTTTCTCTCATTGTAACATGAAATAGAGTAAATTTTTCTTCAAAATGCTGGTGTCATAGCATGGTGAGCAAGGATTTCTCTTCTGACCTGTATAGTGGTATGCGGTTTTCCATATTTGCTATTCGTAACAATGAAAGGTTTTTTTTTAAAAGCACACACCATCTATATATATAAAACCCTAATATGCAAATAGACAACGGCGGAACAACCGAACAACTGGTCGCTATGATGTGCGCTGACCATCAGGGGGTGTGCGCGGAACATGGTGGGTGCGGGTAGCAGATGGCAGAGTACGGAATATGGTGGGCATTGGCTGCGACTGGATGGTGGAGCAGGTGAGGGGGAGTGCCGGACCAAGGCGGGGCACTAGTTGCTGTCATTGGGGCGAGCCTCTGGTGGTTAGTGAAAATTCTTTGCTCCCATGCGCTGCGGTCCCACCCTGCACTCGCACCTGCTGCCAGCGCTGGCCCCGCCTGTGCCCGCTGCTGGCAGCTGCTGGCCCCAATCGCCCCTGAGGGCTTCTCTACCTCCCCCAGCTCCTGAGGGGCGATCGGGGCAGCAGCCACCATTTGCACCAGCTGACGGCACCAGCCCCGCTCACACCTGCTGCTGGTGCCAGCCCCAATTGCTCCATGCTGTCAGCAGGTGCAAGCAGGCTGGCGCTGTCAGCACGTCAGTGCATGGGAGCAGCAGCGGTGGGAGCATGGCTGCCGGCAGACAGGACCGGGGGCTGCAGCAGAAGGGGCCAGGCGGGGCACAGAGGGTGGGCCGAGCCCCACCCCTGTGCCCGCTGCAGCCTCGCCACCCACAGTTCCTTTCAAGGTGCATGAATTCGTGCACT